TTTATGACCGTTGCAACACTTCCCTAATCATGGAATCAAAATTCAGATGCTTGGCAACTGGTTCGTATTTATGACGGTCGCAGTGTCCTGGGGTCATGTGACCACCTTTTGTAACCTTCTGATGAGCAAAATCAATGGGGAAGCCCGATTCCCTTAACAACCATGTTACTAACTGAACAACTGCAGTGGTTCACTTAACAACTGTGGCAAGGAAGGTCATAAAATGGGGCAAAACTCGCTTAAGGAATGACTCACTTAGTAACAAAAATTTTGGCCTCCGTTGTGGTCTAAGTCGAGATCTACCGTGTTTCCCCAAAAATAAGACTCTGTCTTATATTTTTTTGAACCCTGAAATAAGTGCTTGGCCTTATTGCCATGCGTTCAAAAGTCCGATTGAGCTTATTATTAGGGGATGTCTTACTTTGGGGAAAACAGGTACCTGTATACCCAAAAGAAGAACAGAAGAACATTCAAACTATAGATAGTTCTCAACTTATAACCATTCATTTAGCAACTGTTTGAAATTACAGAAGCACTGAAAAAGTGTTGTATGTCTTATGGTACTTACAACTGTCACAACATCACCAGAGTCATATTGTGATGACCTGGGACAAGGCCCGAAGGCCACACAGCCAGCTGAGAGTTCAAACTCCCCTTTAATGCTCTAAATTTTCCCAAATGCTCCCACGTTCTTGGCAAGTCCCAGAGCAAAATGCACACAAGCACTCACACAGCAGCCTCTGGCTGCCTGCAATCCAGCAAAACAAAGGAACAGGGAAATGAGTCCACGAAGCAGGGAACAAACAATGAGTCCACGAAGTAAAGAACAAGGCTCTGAGTCCACGAAGCAAGGAAGAAGCAAGCAGTCCTGCAAACTCGATATGTCTTCAATGGCACACAATACTCTACAAATTCAGCATTTGTCCCCGACAAACACCCCTCCCCACAGTGTCTCCTTAAATCTCAGTCCCCAGGTGTGCCTTGTGAAGAGGGGTGGGGTGCTCTCCTCCTGAGTTTTTGGGTTGGCCTGCACTGTTTCCACCTTCTCTCCACTCTCCATGACTGGGGATCAGGAGGGGGCAGTCCTTGCTCATCGCCTGAACTCCGTCGCTCCTCATTTCCACTGCTTGCCCTCTCTTGGTTATCTGGCCCCCGTTCCTCTCTGCTAACAAGTCCTCCCAATCCTGAGGGACCTGGCCTGCCTCATCCTGCTCTTCCTCATATTCCTCTGAAGCCATTGAAGCCACCACCTCGATATCCGTCGGCTCCAGATCCGGCTTGTCCTCCTCTGCAAATTCAGGTTCTGACGGGGGCATGACACTTATGAAAAAAATTTGGGCACTAGGCAACTGACATGTATTTAAAACATAGCAGCATTCTAGGGTCATGTGACCTTCCATTTGCAACCTTCCCAACTAGTTTTCAACAAGGAAAGTTTAAAGGGGGAAAACCAGATTTGTTTTACAACCATACAATTGATTTAACATCTGCTGTGATTCACTTAACAACCCCTGGAAATACAGGTGAAAAAAAATCAAGCATGACTCACTTAAAAACCACTTTGCTTAGCAATGAAAATTCTGATCCCAATTGTAGTCATAAACTGAGGATTATTTCAGACTGACTTTAAAGGGGATTTAAATGGGGAGTACATGAAAAGGGTTAGCTAACTCTTTGACTGTTTGTACCAACCAAAGCTAACAAAATATTAATAACCTAGTCCCTAAAATTAAAATTTGGGGTTAAATTACTGAGTTCTTAAAAACAGGGATCCCCACAGATGGAGGGAGAGAGAGAGGGAGAAAGAGGGAGGGAGGGAGAGAGAGGGAGGGAGGGGGGAAGGAGGGAGGGAGAGAGAACGAGGGAGAGGGGGAGGGAAGGAGAGAGAGAGGGGCAGAGAGGGGAGGGAAGGAGAGAGAGAGGGGCAGAGAGGGGAGGGAAGGAGAGAGAGAGGGAGAGAAGGAGGGAAGGGAGGAGAGAGGGAGGGAAGGAGGGAGAGAGAGGGAAGGAGAGACAGAGGGAGGGAGGAAGAGAGAGACAGAGAGGGAGAGGGGGAGGGAAGGAGAGAGAGAGAGGCGGAGGGGGAGGGGAGGGAGGGAGAGGGGGAGGGAAGGAGAGAGAGAGGCGGAGGGGGGAGGGGAAGGAGGGAGAGGGTTCTCCATTACAGTATATAGAAATGTTTTGAAAGTATGGATTCTCTGGGTTGTCATTTCATTATTTCAGAGTAGTTTCAATTCAACCAAACTATTTATTAATTCAGGTCCAATGCTTACTCTGCAGAGTTTGAGAATCTACGCATTTCTTTCTGGAAATATATCAAAATCTTCTTAATTAATATTTTTCAATTTAGTAGCCCACAATTTGTCAACAAATTCTTTAAAATTCCTTGCATATACCAAATGACCTTAGAACAGGGGAGAATAGAATGAAGATATTTTATGAACCGAGCAGATAAATTAAAGATTAATTGAACTCAGGCAGATATGGGTAACTTTATTTTTCATCTCAGTAAAGATTGCCAGAAGCTTATAACCTCTCCGAAGTTATAAAATCAGATTTGATGGAGTAGATTTAGATGTGAAGAATCTTCACATTTGTTTTTCTTCCCAGTACGTTATATATGCTTGTCCTTCAGAACTAAATAAATGGCTTCATGCTTTCTGTTTAAAAGAGACAATAATTTTTCATTTGCTTGCTCTCCGCTCAACATTTTCCACAGTTTCACTCTGCTGATGGAATATACAAATTATTTATTGATTTATTCCCAAACATCCTCTAAGCAGCATAGAAAGTTTTACCATGTTTTTGCTATTTATTATTTGATACAATCTAGTAGACTCCTTAATTTATCTCTTTGCCCTATATTAGGAATAAGTTTACTAAATTCAGACTGAATTTAGTCATTTCTGGTTAGACTTATATAAAGGTGAATGTTCCAAACTTTATAGTCATGGGTTCCACAGACCATAGACTCACAACAAAACTTTAGAGTGTCATCTAGGCTTATATTTCATTTGATCCATCATGCAACCAAGAATCAGAAACACCAAGCATTATTACTCTCAGTAACTTCCCTAATTCAGTGATGGCTATTGACAAACAAGTTGAACGGGGGCTGTTTAGTATTTGGTACGTATGGCAGCTAACTGAAAAAATGAGTGAATGGAACGTTTAAAATAATAGAGCATCTGAATATATGAGCCAGTTTGCTCTAGTAGGAAAGTGTGAGTTTTAATCCTGCATATACAGTAGGCAAGAAAACCAGTTGACTTTGGGCCAATTACCAGAAGACCATGAGTTCCAGTCCCACCTTAGGCATGAAACCTAGCTGGGTGATTTTGGACTAGTCCCTCTCTGTCAGCTTTACTACCTTTCAAAGTTGTTATTCCATGGAAAATTGCAGGAGGAGGGAGTATTAGGTATGTTCTCTGCCTTAAGTTATCAGGAAGGAAGGAAGGAAGGAAGGAAGGAAGGAAGGAAGGAAGGAAGGAAGGAAGGAAGGAAGGAAGGAAGGTGGAATTACTAGGTTTATTTGCCTGCTTAAGCCAAACAAGGGAAGGAAGATAGATAATAGATAGATGATGATAGATAGATAGATAGATAGATAGATAGATAGATAGATAGATAGGGATAGGATAGGATAGGATAGGATAGAATAGAATAGAATAGAATAGAATAGAATAGAATAGAATAGAATAGAATAGAATAGAATAGAATAGAATAGAATTTTTTATTGGCCAAGTGTGATTGGACACACAAGGAATTGGTCTTGGTGCATATGCTCTCAGTGTACATAAAAGGAAAAGATACATTTGTCAAAGACATATTCATGATAGATAGATAGATAGATAGATAGATAGATAGATAGATAGATAGATAGATAGAGATAGAGATAGATAGATAGATAGATAGATAGATAGATAGATAGATAGATAGATAGATAGATAGATAGATAGATCTTTGATTTCCCAAAATTTTGCAATCCAATTTTGATATGTATGTTTTTGATTGGCTTAATTAGCAGTTATGTCATACCAAACATACCAAATGAGAACAGTAATCTAAAATTGGTGATGCACTAATAAGAAGGCCATCTCTTCAACTCATGTTCATTCATAAATGGCTTCTAGAGTAAATCCTCCAAAAATATCCCAATTGGCATTGTATTTTCATAGAGCTCTTACCTGCATTACCTCTTAGAGCAGGGGTGTCAAACTCACGTTGTCATGGCGGCGTCACTTGACCTATCAGAACTTTTTCCCTCTTTGCTAAACCGGGTGTGGGCGTGGCCAGCGCATGACGCATCCGGCCCGCGGCCCAGGAGTTTGACAACCCTGTCTTAGAGCATTACCTTCATTCAGGGGTGGGTTCTACTTACCTTTACTACCGGTTCGCAACTGGGGCTGCGAGCTTTTTGTTTTGTTTTGTTTAGCTATTAGGTTTATACCCCACTTTCTTCCTCCAATTTCCTCCACTGTTTCAAAATTGCTTCAAAATTCTGGGCACAAAATTCTTCCCCCTTTCCCATGTATACAGTGCATAAAACATTATAATGGGCTGTGATTTGATCACCTTATAATGTCTATCATTCCAAAGCCCATGGAGCTGTATCTACCATATTTTTCAGACTATAAGACGCAGCGGAGTATAAGACGCACCAAGATTTCGAAGAGGGAAACAAGAAAAAAATCATTTTTGCCTCTGTGTGCCCAGTTTTTGCCCTCCCCAGGCCCCAGGAGCACTCTGCAGGCCTCTCAAACCCTCTGCAATCCCATTTTTGCCAAAAATGGACCTCTTTTTGGCAAAAATGGGATGCACAGGGCGGGGTTTCAAGAAGCCAAAAATGGCTGTATAAGTCGCACCAACATTTGGTGTATAAGACGCACCAACATTTCCACCCTCTTTTAGAGGGTAATCTGAAAAGTACGGTAGGTTTGATTTTTTTAGAAAGACTTTCTGCATTTTGCATTCATGACCTTTGCATGGAGAAATTGACTTACCCTCTTTGGAAGAGATCAACATTATGGAATTTGTGCAGCTCCACAGAAAAGTTGACAGTTCCCTGGACCTCCGACATGATGTTTGTAGATCATCACCTGAAAAAATAAGTAGTAAAGGAAAAGACGTAGTGTCAAATAGATGGGAAAACGTTAGGTTTGCAAAACGGACTTCCCTGAAAAATCTATAAAGTGCTGGTTGTTGAATCATAATCATAAGTTTATTGGTCAAGCATATATAAGATAACAGGTAAAAGTATAAACATAATTTGAATACATGAAAAGAGTAAGAAAAAAGGAATATTAGAACTATACTATAATATCAGAATACTAAATATCAGATTATACTAAATAATAGTTTAATAAGCCTTTTCTGTGGGGGCTCCCTCCCTGGGGAATATCAAATGTGAACATTTATTTATTTATTTATTTTATTTATTTTATTTCTATACCGCACTTCTCCCGCAGGACTCAGGGCGGTGCACAGCCAAAATAAAACATTGTATACAAAATTTAAAAAACAATTTAAAAACAATTAAATAATTGTGGCCCAAATAATTTAAAACAACCCAAATGAAAACCGAATCAATTAAAACTGAGAGGACGGGATCAAGCCAGCCCAGCTAGATGGAATAAGTGTGTTTTTAGGGCCCGACGAAAAGTCCGGAGGTCTGATATCGTGCGTAACTCAGGGGGTAGGTCGTTCCAGAGGGCTGGTGCCGCCACAGAGAAGGCTCTCCCCCTGGGGGTTGCCAGCCGGCACTGTCTGGCCGACGGCGAGCGAACCGGCTGGTGGGAGGCTATTGGCGGCAGAAGGCAGTCTCGCAAATTTAAAATTCCTATCAATTTACCGACCCGTAGCTGACTGATTCACCCACTTTGAAGTGCGCTCATGAATTGGAGATGAAGTGCCAGCTAATTAACGTATGGTTGCTCCAGTGTTTTGCTTTCTTTGGCTTATCCAAAGGTGGTCTTTTCATCCAGGATCAGATATAAGACTTTGCTATGACTTCAACTTACAAGTTCAGCTGTCTGTTTCTAAGTCTAGGTACCAAGGAATGGCAGGAAAACCTGAACTAAATCTAGCAAACTCACCACATCTCCATAGAAAAAGAGAAGTAGAAATAGGAAAATTTACAAAATTTAATCCACAAAATTAAACTAAAGTTAAATGTTTCCCCAGTCCAGTTGTGTCCGACTCTAGGGGGTAGTGCTCATCTCTGTTTCTTAGCTGAGGGAGACAGCATTGCCCAAAAACACTTCTATGATCGTGGCCAGCATGACTTCACGATGAGGGGCATGGAATGCTGTTACCTTCCCACCGAAGTGGTACTTATTTATCTACTTGCATTTGCATGCTTTCAAATTGCTAGGTGGGCAGGAGCTGGGGCAAAGAGAGGAGCTCATCCCATGGCACAGCCACTTGGATCTTGAGCCCAGGTTATCAGCTTTCCAGCTGACAAGATCAGCCGCAGTGGTGCAGTGGTTATAATGCAGTACTGCAGGCTACTTCTGCTGACTTCCGGCTGCCTGCAATTTGGCAGTTCAAATCTCACCAAGGTTGACTCAGCCTTCCATCCTTCCGAGGTAGGTAAAATGAGGACCCAAATTGTTGGGGGCAATATGCTGACTCTGTAAACCACTTAGAGAGGGCTATAAAGCACTGTAAAGCGGTATATAAATCTAAGTGCTATTGCTATCTTTAATGACTGAGCCATTGCACCCCCTATTCACAAAACTACCACACAGCAAACGCTCTTCTTAGAAATCTGACTGCAAGGCACTTTTATTCCAGAATTGCAGTGCAAATTAAAACATCCCCCACAATTTCAGCTGTAATGATCTGTTGCATTCAAACCATTCATCACCCCAAAAGGAGGGGAGGTAAAGAACAAAAATGAAGCAAAACAAAACATCCGTGATTGAAATAATGGCTGACAGGAGAAGGGGGAACTAAATATCTGTTTCCATAAGACAGACGTAGTCTTCAAATCATTTTTCCATAAGACAGACGTAGTCTTCAAACAATGCCATATACTGCATTGTTTTCAGTATTTTTGAGAAGGTTGGGGTCTCACTGAGAAATAGAATTCCCTGCCTTTCCTTAAAAAGAAAAATCAACCCCTTCCTCTGTTATGCTTATGAATACTATCCTGGAGAAATTATTCTCTCTCTTTCTCAATAATGTGCTCCGGTAGTTCTGAAATCAATGAAGTCAGATTTAAGACTAAAATGAGCTGATGCTGAAGTAAAAGGGCAATGATGACTCATAAGCTGCGTTCATTTATAACAAGGAATCCAGGGTGGGATGTAGAAAAACTTAAGGTGGAATAATAAGAATGACAACTGCAGTAATAAGAGCAAGGACAAAAGCAATAATAATAGCAATAACCAGCTTTGGCAGAGCAGCCTGCAGAAGGGAGTTTGCATTAACAATAATAAAGTCATCTTTGCAATGGTGGGATTCAGCCGGATCGCACAGGTTCAGGCGAACCGGTTGCTAAATTACCCAACCCGTCAGTAGTGAAATCCAATTTTTTTTACTACCGGTTCTGTGGGCGTGGCTTGGTAGGCATGGTGTGGCTTGGTGGGCGTGGCTTGGTGGGCATGGCACGGGAAGGATAATGCAAAATCTCCATTCCCACCCCACTCTGGGGCCAGCCGGAAGTGGTATTTGCCGGTTCTCCGAACTACTCAAATTGTCCACTACCGGTCCTCCGAACTTCTCAAAATTTCTGCTACCGGTTCTCCTGTCAGAACCTGCTAGATTTCATCCCTGTACCCCCTGCTATCAAAGCTGATCCTAGGTTCTGTTCTATTCTATTCTATTCTATTCTATTCTATTCTATTCTATTCTATTATTCTATTCTATTCTATCTATTCTATTCTATTCTATTCTATTCCATTCCATTCCATTCCATTCCATTCCATTCCATTCCATATATTCTATTCTATTCTATTCTATTCTATTCTATTCTATTCTATTCTATTCTATTCTATTCTATTCTATTCCATTCCATTCCATTCCATTCCATTCCATTCCATTCCATATATTCTATTCTATTCTATTCTATTCTATTCTATTCTATTCTATTCTATTCTATTCTATTCTATTCTATTCTATTCTATTCCATTCCATTCCATTCCATTCCATTCCATTCCATATATTCTATTCTATTCTATTCTATTCTATTCTATTCTATTCTATTCTATTCTATTCTATTCTATTCTATTCTATTCCATATTTCCCAAAGAAGATTACTGAGTCCACTGGAGGTGGCCAATAAATTTAAATAGCAGAGGAACAAAAGATCAGCTTTCAATTGACAAGATGATTTTGGAAAAGTGCAACAATACCTTTAATGCCCATCAAACACCAGCTGTCTATCCCACTATTCCCTGGGAAGGACTTGATAGATGAATAAAAATGTCAAATCTAGTCTCAATATCTGACTGATTGTACAACTACTCATAATAATACTGTCCTTATATGACAGAAATAGCCTTTTATTGCTAAAGGTTTTATCCACTGTGGCAAAAAACTTTTCCACTTTTCAGAAGGAGAATTTTTTTTTTATTTCTATTGGTAAAAGCATTGTGATTGTTCAGATGACTCAGATGCAAGGTGCCACTTGATGCCCACAGGAAAGAACATGGGGATAACAAATACACAAAGAGGCAGTGCTATCTATCTGTACTTAGCCATTAGCTGTGTAAAGTTGATATGCTGTTGTAAATGTCTTACTAAGTAACCCACAAGCCATGAATAAATGGTAAAATATGCACCTAAGTGACATCTGAAAATATTCACATTCATAAAATAGCAGGAATGTTCAAAATTAAATTAAGTATCTACGAGACTGCCTTCTGCTACCAATAGCCTCTCACCGACCAGTACGCTCCCATAGAGAGGGGCTCCTCAGGGTGCCGTCGGCCAAACAGTGTCGACTGGCGGCCCCCAGGGGGAGAGCCTTCTCTGTGGGGGTACCTACCATCTGGAACGAGCTCCCCCCAGAGATACGGAAGATCCCGGACCTGCGCACGTTTCGCCGTGCTTCTCAAAACTTTTCTATTTCAGCAAGCTGGCCTGGCCTAACTCCCATCTTTTAAATTTTTTAAATTTTTTAATTTGTGATTTTATAAATTGGGTGTTTTAATCTGTGTTTCGGCCGAAATATTTAATAATTTTAAGGGACTTTTTTAATATTTGGATTATCTGTATTTTATCTTGGCTGTTCACCGCCCTGAGTCCTTCGGGAGTAGGGCGGTATAGAAATTTGATTAATAAATAAATAAATAAAATTGTTTCAAGAAAGATAAGAACTCAATGTTCCAAAAGGAGGAAGAGGAGGAGAAGGAGAAGGAGAAGGAGAAGGAGAAGGAGAAGGAGAAGAAGGAGGAGGAGGAGGAGGAGGAGGAAGGAGAAGGAGGAGGAGGAGGAGGGGGAGGAGGAGGAGGAGAAGAAGGAGGAGAGGAGGAGGGGGGAGGAGGAGGAGGAGGAAGAAGGAGGAGGAGGAGAAGGAGAAGGAGGAGGGGGAGGAGGAGAAGGAGAAGGAGAAGGAGAAGGAGAAGAGGAGGAGGAGGAGGGAGGGGTATGTGATTAATAGTTATCTACAGAGAGGGGAGAAAACAATGGTTCCACACTGTTCAACATCCTCCTTCCTTTTGTTTAATTCTGCAGTTTTGTCTGCCTATCTACAGCAGGTCACAAAACCCTTGTTGGCATTTCATCAACTGTGCCATCTGTTTGGAGGAACAGAGAGAGAGAGAGAGAGGGAGGGAGGGAGGGAGGGGGAGAGAGAGAGAAATGATGACAGTGCTTGGATAAAGAGAAGATGAAATTACCTGAGCTGGATAGATCCCAACTACTAAGACGAGGGTGTGCTTTGATTAAGTATACCAAAAATAGTATTTCTATAATGCTATGATGAGAAAGTTAAGGCAGGATACTACAGTAGCTGTCTGTCTGTCTATCTGTCTGTCTGTCTGTCTGTCTGTCTGTCTAGTTGTCTAGTTATCTATCTCTATAGCTATCTCTATATCTATATATCCTGTTTCCCTGAAAATAAGACATCTCCTGATAATAAGCCCAATCCGAC